CTCAAGGTCCTGAGTTCAAACCCTACCAGAAATAAACAGAAAAAAGAAAAGAGAAGAATACTAACTTGTACAACTGTGGTGTGCAAAGATTTTACTGTAACTTCATTTATTACTTAGATTTGGGGGTCTGAGCCCACCCAATGACAAATCTCATAGAAAAGTTAAAGAAAAAAAAGGTCAGTTAAGCCAGAAGGCTTTATATTATTGTATGGAATGACAGCTGTCTTACAAAACATTCTTTCTCTGGAGCAATAGGGAACATCAGCAAGTTTCAGCTATTCATCATCCATTTATAACAAGGCTTCCTCAAATGGTTCTTATAGGCACCATGTGGGACAAAAAAAGAAAAATTACCTCATTGCCCAGCATTGAAGAGTTGCTCAGCCAGGGTGTGAGGAATAGGTTTGGACAAGGATTTCTCTTTTCTACTGGGGATAATCACTCCAGTCCAGGCACAGATACCTCTCTCTCTGAATTCTTTACAAGAACTCTTTACAAGCCAAGCACAAACTGCTCATGCTTTCTAGGCTCACTTGAGTATCCATGGATGCTTATGCTCTGAGCATGACTTCTATTTCAAATTACCTTGTTTTTGTTTTTTGTCAGTCGTGGAGCTTGACCTCTGGGACTGGGCGCTGTCCCTGCGCTCTTTAGCTCAAGGCGAGGTCTCTACTGCTTGAACCACAGCGCCACTTCTGGTTTTCTAGTGGTTTATTGGAGATAAGAGTCTCACGGATGTTTCTGCCTGGGCTGGCTTTGAACCTCAATCCTCAGATCTCAGTCTCCTGAGTAGCTAGGATTATAGGCGTGAGCCACCGGCGACCGGCTCAAATGACCAAAGTAACATTGTTTCAGTGAGACAGGCTGTCCTATTAGAGAGCTTGTGGTAATACAGTAGCCTTGCTTGGAGACACTCCTGTCATCCCAGGGGCCTGAGATGGACCAAGGGTCCAGGAAAGACATGAATTCCAGGCCGTCTAGGCCGGAGGATTGAAGATATTCATGATCAGAGTATCACTGGACCTCTCATCCTGGAATTATGGCTGAACTACCACACAACTTAAGCTACTCATTCAAAGCAGAAGTAGAACAGGCCTCTGTGAGGAAGGTGGAAACTGCCTGATGGGTGTTCTTTGTTCCACTCTTTAGGAGTCATTGTGGGGTGGGAGGCTGGTGGGGACCAGCAGCTGTCTAAGTGATTAGCTTGTTGCTTACAGGCAGGACCCTGAGTCACTGTCAGTGGAAACTAGTGTATTGAGGAAGGCTGAATCACATTCTTTCTTTTTTGTGTGTGTGTGTGAACATACTGTACAGAGGGGTTACAATTACATGGGCAGGATTATGCATACATTTCTTACCAAGCATTGCAGCCTCCTCCTTTGGTTTACCCTTCACATCCCTTCCCAGCCTCCCTCCTCCCCCCCAATCCCAATCCTTCTCCTTCCCCCCCCACATTCTTCCTTTCTTTGTCACTTTCACTGAGAGAGACCTCCCCTGGGAGGAAACAAAATCAATACTCCGGGAGGTGTGGATGAGCAGCCAGACCTCTGGAGTTTATGTTGAGTGCTGAACTTGCTCCAAGCCTGGAGGGTTCTGATTCCAGGCAGGATAATTTATTGAGTTATTTGTTTTGGTTTTCTTGGTACATTTACTCATTATTCCAAGCCAGTAGCCAGGCCTTTGTAGTGCTCCTTTGCTACAATGGCCCAGTGAAGAATGTCTGTAAATCATCTCGCTTCCTGACATTTCTTCCCTTGACCCTCAGGGATTAGAGCGCCCTGCGCTCTGACTCAGGAAAGGAGTTGTAGTGTGGCTTTGGGTGGGTAACATCCTTACTAATGAGCAAGCTAAGGTGTCACAGAGAGACTGCGCGGGTGGGTGTCTATTTTGGCCCTTGCATTAAGGAGAGAAGAATTCAACCAGGGTGTAAAATGCAGTGAAAGTGATTTAAATTTAAAAAAAAAAACTCATTAGGAAAAGAATCTTCTACAAGTAGACTGAAAGTGGGCTCTCTCTAGGGCCCTCACATTGGTTTTTATCTTGGCCATACGTTTGAAGTGTAAAGCGGCTGAGCTTTTCCCAGGATCAGCTGACAAGGCAGAGTTACTGTCCTGAGGCTGGGAGAAGTTTACTGAACTACATTTGACCTCTAGCACAAGGCGTACTGGCTGGGGTAAGCTAAAGCTCTGGTGTTCCAGGAGCCATTCCTTGACCCTGGTTCCTTAGGTCATGGGTCAACCACCTTGTGATATTCATGGCCCTGGTGGGCTACGTGGATCTTAACCCATGAGCTGGAAAGTTTCATTACAATATTTTCCTCAGAAACTTTGGAGGTCTCCTCCTTTGCTTATCCCTGTTGCTCCTGGATAACTGCTTCCTTTCAGATGGAGAAATAGACAGCCATATATATATAAAATGAGGTTCTGTGGTCCACCTTCCCCCTTCATCCTGACTTCCTGTGAGCCTCAGAAAGATGACAAGTCTTTCTGGCTTTATAGGCATCTTGGTGGAAATCAATAACCATAAAGACCATGTTGGCTCACAGATAAAACCTGGGTTTTGTAAGACCTATGAGTTATGAATTATTACATTTGTGTGTGTGTTTGTGTGTGTGTGTGTGTGGTGCTTGGGATTGAACCCAGAGCCTCATGCATGCTAGGCAAGTGCTCACATACTGAGCTATACCCATATAAAAAAGAAAAATAAGGACATGTGTAATTATGTAAAATTCAAATATCAGTACCCAGAAAGTCTTGGAAGATAGTCAAATTCATTCACTTACCTATAGTTGGTGACTGAATTTCAAGTAGTTGTGACAGAGATCTGCCTGGCTTGAGAAGCCTAATATTTACTATTTAGTTCTTTATAGATAGAAATTGCAAAATCACAGACACATATAGCAGTGGTAATTACAGGAGGGAGAGATAAAGCCCTGGTTTTGCAAAAACAACTCTATACTTTTCTTTGTTTTTAAGGCTTGTGGCTAGTCCTGCAAACTGACCATTCCTCAGCCCTTCCAACCACAACTTGGCAGAAGACCAGATCTGTGGTAGAAATGCCCCAGGAGGGGAGGGCAGAGACTCAATGGAATTGGGTGGGATTATATGGAGTCCCAAACCCAACATAATGATCTGAATCAATAAAAGATAAAGCCAGCCCAAGTTCCAACCCATTCTGAGTGCACCAGACACGGGTGATCATTTGGCTGCTAATTTGACTTTGCCCAGGAGATTCTACAATTTCTCCTCTTCTGCATGGCCTTGACTTTTTGGAAAAGGAATCTCTCGGGGAGGCAAAACAAACCTCAGATATACTCTCCAGATTTATTTGTTTATAAAAGCAATGCCGCTTGTATTGTTTCTTGTGAAGTATGCTCCTCTCACTTCCTTAATCTACATAGTTGGCTCATACTCTGAACCTCCTCCGTTGGAAGAGGGATGTCACCTCTGTCTGAAAGGCTGGGAGCAGAATTTGGGAGTCAAGAATCTTGTATTCTGGCTCTTGCTTGAATTCTTTTCTGCTCTTTTTTGGGGGGGTTGGAGGGGAGGCTGGTGCCAGTACTGGATCTTGAACTCAAAGTGCGGTTGCTATTCCTTAGTTTTTTCACTCAAGGCTTGTACTCTACCCCTTGAGCCACAGCTTCACTTGCAGCTGGCTAATTGGAGACAAGAGTCTCATGGACTTTCCTGCCTGGGATGACTTTGAGCTGAGATCCTCAGATCTCTAGGATTACAGCTTACAGGTGTAAGCCACCAGCACCTGGCTCTTTCCTGCTCTTTACTGTCCCTTTAACACCATGAAGGACTCTCAGATGGAGGCTTTGTCCCTAGGACAGCTGTGAGCAAGTCTGTGCAGAAGGACTCAACAGGAATCAGGCTGGCTCTACATTAATAACTAGTCTAAAACCACTAAAGAAGGGCCTTAGGGGCATGGCTCAAGTAGAGCATCTGCCTAGCAAGTGTACTAAGGACCTGAGTTTGAGCCCTAGTACTGGCACCATAAAACCCAAAAAGTTGTCTGTGAACTTTTTTTTCTTTGGAATCAACATTTCTGTGTGGATGACCGGGTCAGATTCTATGTTTCGGAGTAAAGCATTCTGCTTGTCTGAGCTGAAGCTGAAGAAGGAGGCTGATGTGAAATTCTTGAAAAGACCACTATGTCTCTTGTGTTTTTTTATAACAACCTTATGAAGGGACTTTGAGGCTTCGATTTAAACCAAGTATTTCTGCCTCCATCTACTAGCTAAGAATCTGTGCATCTGTATGTAAGCCGTTGAAGCAGAAAGGGGGAACTGACTAGAAAGGGGGCTGCTGGTCTCCCAGGATTGCCCCCAAACCCATGGCTTCCCTTCTCTTAGTAGGCCTCCAATCTGGTGTGACCCCAGGAGATGTGAGCTACAGGATCATCTTATCTGAAACCTTACCACACCTCCGACCTGCTGATAACTGGTGTTATCTCTGTGAGAGAACTACCTCTACTAAGGGAAACTTCTAGAGTTTGCTTGCCTGTCATTTTCCCCCTTACTTCATTTCCTGACTTGTAAACAGGCAGAATGCGAGCAGATGACTGGTGTATATGGGAACCCTAGGATTCTGCTGTGCTCAGCACATCCTGTTATTATAGGTCTCAAGCCCTGCTTTGTTCCATTTCCCTTCCCTTTTTTTCTGGGACTACTATTAGGGGAGTAATGGGATTTTTGGGGGGTAAAATGTTCATTTTTCACTATGGAAGTCAGTATGGTGATGTTGGAAAGAGCATGAGACTTGGAACCAGCAGTAGGTTCAAATTTTACTCCTTACACCATCTTTTCCTGGGACATAAATAAAAATATCGGGGCCTCCAGGCAATAATGGGAAAGGACTCTGTATATTTTGGTGCATAGGACAGGATACATGTGGGAAGTTTCTAGAAACATGAGATGCAGTTGGAAACAGGAGGCAGATGCTCACCTCCCACTCCCTGAGTGAATCAAGACTGCTTTTCCCTCCTCTCTTCCCCAGCTGCTTCCTGGACCAGCAGTCACAACCAGGGCTCTCCTTGGCACAAATTCCTCTACAGATTTTGACCCAGTTTGGTGCCCTCCTTCCTGCACCAAGGCTGAAGGTAGGAGTGGCCGGTTTCATTTATTTAATGGCCTAGTCTTGGGGAAATGGCAATATATGTGCTTTGTCCTCGATGCCATTACTATTCTGCATTTGGTCCTTTTATCTCTCTCTTTAGGGTTAGCTTTCCTTGAATTTCTATGAGCTCTCCTTTCCGTATTTTCCTGCACACATATATCTGTTCCTACCTTCAGCTCCATGAAAGTATGTGGATCAGGCCATCTCCCCTAAGGGCAGTTCAGCCCTGCCACAGCATGTTGGGACAGGGCTATCCTAGAAATGCCAGCAGAGGAGCCAACAGTGGAATGTCAACACACAGTCCTTTCCTTTCCTTTTCTTTACTTCCCTTCCCTTCCTTTGCCTTTCCTTTCCTTGCCTTGCCTTGCCTTCTTTCCTTTCCTTTCCTTTTTTCCCCTACTTTTTTTCTCCCCGCTCTTCCATAGGGTCTTAATATGTAGTCTAGGATAGACTAAAATTTTGACCCTTCAGTCTCAGCGTGTACTACCATACCAGGCCCCTTACTTACTAACTCATAAACAGAACGTCAAAGTTACTTAGATAATTCTCCACTTTCCCTTTTGCTTCCTTCTGTTTCTGCCTCTTAAATATAACATCCAGGATTCTATCACCCCAAATGACATAGTTATCATAAATTATACTAATCTAAGTGATACTGGCCACTATAAACTTAGTATATTCTGAGTTTTCGAATGGTTTTGTGAAATGTAATGTAGTAACCTCATTGACAATCACTCTATAACTAGGAAAAGTTACTATCCCTAACTTATAAATATACAGAGATAGGAAGGTAAAGTCATTCATCATAGGCAACTAGTTAGTACTAAACCAAGAATCAAGCTCAGGGAACTGTAGGACTTTTCCCATTTCCGTGGGGCAGAATGAAGACTTTCAGTCACATAGGAAGGTCTGAATTTTGGATCATGACTCAGATGTAATAGCGTCAGGATCTTTTAAATAAAACTTGTTATTTGCACATTTCTATAATCAGAATTTGTCATGAAGACTCATACTGGCATAACCATCTTTGGAAAATCTGATTTACTCCAACATATTGAAAGATGTTAGAAGAAAAAAAAAAAGAAACGTTATAAAAATGTAGACCTTTCTATAAAAATATTAAAATTTATTTTTGAAAAAGTAAAGTGACATTTACTCCCAAAATTTCTTTCTTATTTTAGATGCCATTTATGTCTTCAAACACCACCTATCTTGGTGATTTCATTATCTGGCAGACAATGAAAAACAAACAAACAAACAAGATTATATAACTAGCTTCTGCTTTCAAACTTACCTATTCTTTATCTGAGATAAAGCATGCATTTCAGTCTCTTACTTGACATTTTAAAACTCAAAAAGGAGAAGAAAAAGAAAAGAAAACTAGCTTCAATCTTGCGATTCAGACCCAAGGCAGGTGTTACCTTATCTCCAAGTGAGCCAGGTGAGTCAGGACTCCTTCTTTCACAGGTCATTCTATCACAATCTTCCTCTTAGCAAAACAGTTCTCCATGCACTTCCTGTTCACATTTCTGTAAGCTAAGTGCTGATGTACTCCAATTTACCATAAGCATACAATGATAAGTTATGCAACAAAAACTTGGAAGTGGTGACACTAGAGGGGTGTATAACTGGTTAGTTTGGTGTAAAGGAATTTACATTTTTTTTTCCCATGGCACATGCATCATCCCCTCCTGATGAATTCTACTCCTCCGCTGGTTTTCTCTTATAGTTCTCTTAGTTCATTATTTTACAAGGCAACCTCTGGGCTCTTTGTCCTCTAGTCTCTGCATTCCAAGCTTATTTTCGGTTAGGCTTTCCTGTAGGACCAAGAGTGGGGTTGGAACTGAGCTTGAAGGAGACCGGTTCACACCACTTGAAAGGAATGGGTGTACCCTCTGCGGTTTGCAGTGTAACTTGAACTGTTGGGATTTTTCTGGTAGAGAAAGAGGTCAAACAGCCTTGCCAAGCCTGAGCAGTTGGCCAACAGCTTTGTTCTAAGAGAATGTTTCCTGCCTCAGAACTTCAGGTGAGGAGTTGAAGATTTGCAGTGTTGTGGTTAGTAGGGTTTGTGGAGGAAGTGAGAATATTCTATTTCATCAAGACTTTCATATTCATTGGCACACCAGTTTATGATATTTGTTAAGGATTTCGAAATCGTTGTGTCAGTAGTTAGATGCTCTTAAAACTGGCTAAATAGAATTCTTAGTGCAGTTGGGCTCTAAGAGGTTGTCTGATGAGCAGGAGGCATCAAAGGTGGGAAAGTTAAGAAAAAGAGAGCACACTGGCTGTCATTGTACCTGGCCTAGGTGAGGAGTGGAAGATGGGAGAATGGGCAGAGAAAAGTTGATGGCATGTAGGCAGGAGATGTGGCATCATCTCATTATGAATGTCTGCTTATGCTTTGTGGTCAGAACGAATGAAAGTTCTGGGTTTTAGAACTTGAGGACATTTTCATTCATCGTTTTTTTTGTTTGCTTGTTTGTTTTTTGTCGGTCGTGGGGCTTGAACTCTGGGCTTGGACGCTGTCCCTCAGCTCTTCAGCTCAAGGCGAGCACTCTACCGCTTGAGTCACAGTGCCACTTCCAGTTTTTGAATGGTTTATTGGAGATAAGAGTCTCATGGACTTTCCTTGCCCAGGCTGGCTTTGAACCGTGTTCCTCAGATCTGAGCCTCCTGAGTAGCTAAGATTACAGGCAGGTGCCACTGGCGCCTGGCTATATTCATCGTATTATTTATACAGACTGCATATGTCAGATAGTTCAAGCACTGCAAGTGTTTTTAAAAATTTTTGTTTTAAAATATTTCTTTCATTTCAACTAGTTTCTTTTTCGTCATAAGAGAGGTATAAAAGAGATCATTATGCTAGAAGATATTCTACCTCCTAACCAAAAGTATTTTAAAATTTTACTTCAAATTGACAAATAATAATTACATAGTGCTATTATTCCCCAGATCTAAGCCTCCCAAGTAGCTGACAGTTTATTTTATGCAAACAAAAAGTTTATTTTATGTAAAATTGTTTTAAAGTGCTTCCAGTGAAGGAAGAATAAGAAAAGGTAATAGAGAGGGTAAACATGATTCATGTACATTGCGTACATGTGTGATCAGAAATACCACAATGAAAGCTAATAAAAAATGAGAAGTAGAGAAGATCCAATTGAAACAAATGAGATCTCCCAAACTCCAAAGGCTTCCAATCCATTGCATTAATCCATTGCAAAGGAATGTAATGTAAACTTAACATCAAGAAGTTTATACAGTATTCTGCTTATTTGTAAATTCATGCCAAGGGTAATTTATATTGTAGCATCTATCACTACTTCAGAGAAGTGAAATCATTTATTGTAACTCTTACTTTCTTTTTTTCTTTTTCTTTTGTCAGTCATAGGACTTGAACTTAGGGCCTGGGCACTGTCCCTCAGCTTTTCAGCTCAATGCGAGCACTCTACCACTTGAGCCACAGTGCCACTTCTGCTTTTCTGATGGTTTATTGGAGATAAGAATCTCATGGACTTTCCTGCCTGGGCTGGCTTTGAACCGTGATCCTCAGATCTCAGCCTCCTGAGTAGTTAGGGTTACAGGCATGAGCCACCAGCGCCTGGCTGCAAATCTTATTTTCTCGATGCTATGGTCTTATTTGACTAAAAGTTCTAAGGGGAATATAATAAATTTACTTCTAATAGATAGATAGATAGATAGATATAGATAGATAGATAGATTATATATAATTTACTTATGTATGATATATTATATATCAGGTAATACAATAAGTTCACTTTTTCCAATATCTATACAATATATAGACAGCATATATAATATATATACAACAATTTACTTTTAATATGCATACATTATCAATTGAATGAATATATCCATCATCTCAAATACTCATTTTCCTGTAATTGGGATGTTTAAAATCTACTCTTTTTAAGTTTTCAAGTATTCAATACATTATTATTAACAATAGTCATGTGCTATAAAATAGAACTTGCCTTGTCTAACTGAAATTTTGTACCTTTTGACCAATGTTCCTTTTTTCACTTTTTTTTTTTCAGGAAAAAAAATCACTTTGATAAAATTAAGACTCAAACTCTTTGAAAGCTCAACTTGATTTTCTAGGACATAAAAGCCACATTGGCCATATAATAATAGTACAATGTCCAAGTCTGAAACATAAAATCCATAGTGGATTAATGAAATAAATAAAAACAGGTGCTGGACTTCAATTTGAAGCCAGCTCAGACAGAAAAGTTTCTGGGATTATTTCCAATTTACTCACAAAAAGCTGGAAGTAGAGCGGTGGTAGAATGCTTAGCTTTGAGCAAAAAGGCCCAGAGACAACACCCAGGCCCTGAGTTCAAGCCCCAGAATTGGCAGAAAAAATAAAATAAAATATATGTGGCATTTTTCTATGAAGAAAACATCCTCAGTAACCAAATGAAACATTTGAAGCAGCCTTCTTTCAATTTTATCTGAACTTCTTTTTTGACACTTTTTTTTTTGATCGGTCATGTGGCCTGAACTCTGGGCCTGGGCGCTGTCCCTCAGCTCTTCAGCTCAAGGCTAGCACTCTACTACTAGAGCCACAGCGCCACTTCCAACTTTTTCTGTTTATATGGTGCTGAGGAATTGAACCCAGGGCCTCAAGCATGCAAGGCAAGCACTCTACCACTAAGCCACTTTCCCAGCCCCATTTTTTTTTTTTTTTGGCACATTGGAAGAAGAATAGATGCCCATATTATAGGAGAAAAGAGAGCATAGTTGAGAAGTTTTGTTATCCACCCATCCTTACCCTGTGCCAGAACCATTGCAAGCATCTACTTATATTGGGATCAGCCATGTTAACCATGGGAGAAGTGGACCCTGAATGCCTTCAAAGCCTTCACTTAGTACATGGTGGAAGTTAAGTCTTGAGATATCTTTCTGTGTTGAAAGGAAAGGTGGATGGAGGCTTGCTGTTGACATAGATCCTGATAAGGGAGG